TAAACATCCCATGTCTACCTAAACAAAATAAATCCTGAAAATCCAGACAGAAGACAGACTCTCTGCAGACACAGTCAGCACCACACGGAGGTCATTACTTTAGTAAAAGTCTATACTTCATATTTTAGGATAAAACTACTGGCTCCACCTTTAACAACAAAGTCAAAGTGCTTGCTCAGAACAAACTGAACATTATATCTGTATTCAGTATCTTATTTTACTGTTTCATTACAAATACAGTTAATGTTATTTTAGTTTACGTTGTCTATTGTGATGTTGATTTTATTTCTTTGTTTGATTGACTTCTGTATTTTAAATGAATCTACATGTATAACAGCAGAGTGGCAACTTCTGGGGCTGAAAATACAGCTAATGCCAAAGGCTGCAGTTCCCATTGTGGCCTCTGGAGGACTGCTCTAAAAGCGATTTGAGTCCGGGTTAAAAAGCCCAACTCGTTTGTCCCCTTTATAACCTTTGTATTTATCACAATAATGATGTCAGTCAGAGATAAATCTGTTTGTTTCCATGTGTCAGTGACAATGACAAACCCTGTGCTGCTGTTGTGGGGTTTTTTCTAGTTTTGTCCACACAGATCACTCTCACATTTTAGACTGCTGTTTCAATTTAACAATCTGCTGGAAGGAAATGAAGTGCTCAGTGACTTACTGCTGCACACAAGTAAAGATGACAAATGGAAAGGATTAAATCAAGCGGGTCTTTGGAAGGTGACAGCGGAGAAAAAAAAAAAGAAAAAGACTTTCAGGAGATCTTTAAATTATTCTAACAACTCCATCAAGCTGATCTCTGCAGTGAGCAGACTTCACAGCTGAGTGCATTTGCTGATCATGGCCACAGGAAGAAAAAAACGATCCTGCACACTGTATCTCTGTAATTAAACCGCTGTCCCAGATGTACACTCAGAAGTCTATTGCAAGCGCAGGATTTCTATTAAGCAGGTGATTTCAATTCAGCTGAGGAGCGGTCTGGGACTCGCAGCATGAGACAGGAGGAAATGAATCGGAGCTGTGTAAGCACAGGGCGTTCGCTGCCACTGAAGGGCTTTTAAATGACTCTTAAAGGGAGTGCAGCAGCCCGGGGTTAAAACAGTACGCCTCTCAGGAGGTCACCGGGAGGTTTTAGGGTTGCATGAGAGAAGGAGGTCACTGCCCGGGCCCGTGTGACTGACCTGCAACCAAAGAGCGAGAGGTAACCAGCGGAAGGCCGATGGAGCTGCACGCACAGGCAGGATGCAATGACCTGAAACAGAAACTTAATATTTTCTTACATAGTTCAATGAATAAAAGCAAACAAAGACACAGAGACGTGCTGCTACTGCAAAGCTTTTATTGAAGAGAAAAAAACAACAGTTGACTACATGACCCTTCCAAAGACTGAGAGCAGATGAGACGCTCTGCCTGAACATCACAGGGTTAAGCTCAGGCGAGTTTCACACTGTTTGAGACACTGCTGCTGCTGCTGCTGCTGCTGCTGCTGCTGGAAACATCCACTGTATGGAGGATATATTGACCCCAGACTAAGGGATCTACTTTATGTACTTTGGTAAAGATGAGTAAACATGTGAGCAGGGCAAACCACACAACACACAGCAACAGTAAAGTGATTCGATACTACTCCGACAAAGGCACTTTGACAAACATTGGCAGAACAAAGACAGTAGACAACACAAATACTCTGAGCAAATAGATATCATTGAACCGTCTTTTCTTTTTATCTGAAGCATCAATGTGTGTTTGAATATTTAAGCTTCAACAAAGACCGAAGACGTCAACACAGATTGTCTATAAAGAAAATGTAAACAGGGGAGTTTAATACAGATTTTATGGCACATTAACCTACAGTCAGAGAGGTTTAACTCGCACTCCCATCGTACACTTTGTAAAAACATGTGCTAATAAGCCAGTTATTAAACAATATACGTTTGAACGCTTTATGGACATTTCTTAGAAATCTGAAAAGCTAGAACCCCGTAACAACCTTCATATAAACCGTTGAAATGTAAAGAGTGAAAATGAGATGCTGGCTCTAACAGAAAAAATAAATACATTCTGAAACATGCTCAAAGCTGCTGAATGGTTCCAGCTGGTTTGGGTTTATTTACCGACACTACTCAGGTAGGTTGAATTCTCACTTATTGTGATTTTATTGGAAGCATGTTAGTAACCATTAGCTTATTTAGATGTAGAGCTGTCAGCAAACATTAGCTTTCTTTTTGAGTTGTTGCAAAATTCCCTCTCCTTTTAGCTCTAACTTAAAGCAGACGTATACTGTACGACCCATTTGACCTGATTTTTTAATCGGGAATAATTTCAGCCCATTGCGTGTCATTAGCCATGGAGTACACCTGTGTGTGTATTTGAGTGTTGTATATGAGACCAATAAAATACACATCGATGTATTGCCAATTGTGAATGCTCCGTCCTGATTTAACTCTTGCAGTGAGCACACACATCTCGAGCTTTGGTCGTGCGTTGTAAACGATTCAGTCGTACAGTGTGAGCTGACATTCCACCACAAATATGAGGCTTATATAGTACATGGTGGGGTTTAGTTTGCACAATCATGATGGAAATACCTGGTTTTTAGTTGCAAAATATAATCGCCATGGATGCTCAAAAGGTTTGTAGCGTTAAATGACCTCCAATCTTGTGCAAAGGTAACATGTAAAAAAGTAATAACGCAGCACTGTTTTTTTAATAATCAGTCAAAACGTCTTTTATTGGGTTAAAACATTGACTTATATATTCACAGGCATGCACATGGTTTGAAAATATACTGAACACTTATCATTTATTTGTGTTGACTGTTTTATATGTCAGATAAAATGAATGTTTGATTGTTTACTGTTCTTTTTACACATCACCCCACAGAACGTCTGATTTGTCTGATGTCAACTCATTTCATGAACATGTTGATATTTGTGGCTCACAGTTACTGTACACTTCTTCCTCACACTGTCACTGATTCACTTGAACACAGCACAGGAATGATTCAGCTGCAGAGAGTTCACGCCTCAGAGCACAGCAAATGTTCCTGCTACATATTGCTGCAGTATTGCAATGAAATGTTTTCCTGTAGAGCGAGAACCAGAGGCGGATCTGAATAATGGATACCGTTTTGGCTTCAGAAAACTTGTGGACTACTGAAGGAAAACAACAAAACACAAAGGTCCTCACATCAACTTCCAAAGCTAGTACGGTAATGTTGTGTTTAGAGAAAATCTGTGATGAAAAGTTGAGGAGTTATCATTTTAAATGAGCATAACTGCACTGTTTTTATTCCAAAACGACTTTCAAAATGTAGGTCTCTGACCGTTTAACTGCAGAAATCTTTTTTGTGTGTTTTCTTTGGTAGAAGTTAGATTCTGCTTTCTGATTGGGAAAGCATGTCAGAAAGCCCTGCATGGACCTTTAACAGGCAGCCATGAGAAGCTAACGCCTGATCAACAACATCCCTGTGAGCTGAAACCTAGCAACACATGTGACATACTGATCTATAAGGTGTGTTGTTTCACAAAGAGCAGTTGTCACACCACTCACTGAATCTAACAGTCAAATTGATGGATATTTAAGTATAGTGATAACAAAAAGACAAACACATGTAATCTGTGACTCTAGAGATGCACGGATTGAACTGTTTTTGACTCCTGCAGCTTGACCTTTGTTAAAAATGATTGTAATGATAGTTTGCAATAAATTAACAAGAGAAGATGTTACATTCTGATTCTAGCTCTGTGACACTTTTTTAAAACTGGTATTTAAGATGTTTGTCATGTCCTGGAAAAGATTTAAATGAGTGCGTTTACATGGACATGGGTATCCCGGTTAAGAGCCTTGTCCCGGTTTGGATCATATTCGGGATATGGTGTTTACACGGACACAGAGGAACATGGTTATGCTCATTGTGGGCTTGGTACTATTAAATACCAACTTTACCGAAAGACAGAAGTCAGTTTCTTTGTTGCTCTTTAATGGTCACTGTATTATGAGAATACACTTCACCATGTTTTTTAAACACAAATATGTGTCTACAGCCTGTCTACAAACCCCCGAATTATAAGAAAAGTCTGTCTTTTCCCTGCTCCACTTTTCAGAAAATGTGTGCTTTAACAGGCCATTTGGAGATTTTCCCTTTGTGACATCACAAAGGGCAGTAACTCCTCCCAAAGGTGGGTGATACTCCCACAGCTAGGTGTTTGTTCTCCCCTCTGAGTCTGCCTTCTCACCGTAAACCATCGGGCATGGTGCAAGAAAGCCGTAGTCACCAAAGCCCTTCCAGAGAGGGGGTGTGGTCAGACACAGCTCATTTACATTTAAAGGTACAGACACAGAAACAGCCTGTTCTGAGCAGGGCTGAAATAAAGGGGTTTATAGGCATGATCAAATACAGGAACAGAGAGACATGTTTTGAGGAGCTCTGAGACTTATTTAAACTTGTTGAAAATAGGATATTATATGACCTTTAAGTAAGAACAGCTGCTTCGTCAGCCTGTGCAGGTAGTCGGCATCTGTTAGAAACTAGGATAAGGCGTACACATGCCACGAAACACATTTTCTATAGGTTCTTTAGGTGGCAAAATTGGGTTAATTAAAATGGGGATAAGGGCAAAAAATCCAAAACCGAGATACTCAAGTCCATGTGAGCACTCAATGACTCCCTCTTAACTTGGGGACGAAAATGTAGTTTCTTCTCTCCATGGGGTAAGATCTAACTAGCAGTCGAAGGACGTCACTATGTTCATGTTGTTTGTTGTCACATTCAGTGCCCATCTGAGACCATAAACTCCAATCAACATCTGCAAACAGTCCCTCACAGCTTCTCGTTAGGAGAGGAAATGTTAAAATATGGGGATCACAAAGCACAGTGCTAACATTCAGTTGGAACTTAAAACACATTTTCTTTCAAGGAGAGCACTTGCCAGTTTTGACTTGAATCAGCTTTTAACTCTTCTTGGTTTTTGACCTTCAATGATGAACTTCGTGTCTACAACATTTTTTATTAAATGTGAGTTGCTTTAATCTCCCAGAGGACCGGCTGTGCAGAGCTGTTACAGATCATTGTGGAGTATAAAACACTGTTTCAAATTTTAAAAAGGTAAAAACACTTGAGTTGTAGAATTTGTGTCCTGGCAAAGGTCTGTTGAATGTCAAAACAATTTTCACTGAAATTAGTTAATTGGCTTATTGACACAGTTGCTTACAAGGTGTTGCCATGGTTTCAAAACATTAAACGACATCATGAATGCTCTGATGTTAGCAGACAAACTGATTAGAAGGCACAGCCCAAAGAGGGTTTTGTTGCTTTGTTTATAAAAATCACTTTCTGACATTTTAACACTTTCACCTCTCAGAGTGTCAGGAAACAGTGAAGAGAAGTCAATCCTATTAAAGTGTTGATTGCTTTGTTCATAAAATCATCAACATGCTCAAGACATCTGCCACGGAGGCTTGGGAAATACTTTGTCTTAATTCATGAGGATGGCAATAAACCAAATCATCAAAGTGTAAACCAAAAATAAGCTAACAAGAACTCATTTATGAAACCATCTATCTTTTGTTTAAAGGTACACTGTGGAGCTTTCTCATTCATATTGTGTTTACGTTCTCTGTAGACTTAAAGAGGCACAAAATACATTGTTTTTTTAAAGACTAGTCTTTGAGGGGTCTTGTGTTTGTTGTTGATATGTTTCTCTTTGCAGTCTTTTTACACCTTGTTCTAGCTCCTTGTGTCATTTTGTTTGTCTTTGTAATTTGTTTTGTGTCTCTTCAAATATAGTTGATGAATTTAATGATAGATATGAATCTTTTTGCTTGTCTTAATGTCAATCATGTTCACTCTTATGGTTGTTTTTGTGTCTTTGCTGTTGGTTTGGAAAACATTGACAAAGTTTTGCTTCACTTTCTGATAGTAGTGTGTTTCTTTGTTGTTGTCTTGCATGACTCGATGGAGCAATATTTGGTGACTACCATGACCTCTGTATAAAAGGTCAAGGCTCCTGTACAAGCTTCAAATGGGACCTGCTCATAAAAACAAGATTACAATAAAAACATTGCTCCACAGTGCCCCCGCTGTTCAAAAACTCCACAAGGTACCTTTAACTCACAAGCCTAAAAAACTTAATGGCTGGTCAAGTTATTGTTATGAAAAAATAAAACAAATCAAAAAGGTCAAACTACTTTAAAAAAAACTCTTGGATGGAACAAATAAAATCATCATCATCATCAACATCAACATCATCATCATCATCATCATCATCATCGTCGTCATCATTTTTGGGAAACTCTTCCGGTCCCTTCTTCCTCCAAAACTCAAACTTTGAACAAACACTAAAACTAAAAGACAAATGTCGGTGGTACAATCAATACTGACAAACAGCACAGTCACAGAGTACCAACAGAACCGTTCTGATGAAAGAAGTTACTATAAGGACACTTATGTGGAATCTGTACAGGTAAAATATTTCCTTATTCATAAAATTTCTTATAAAGTGTCGATGCAATTAATATTAAAAATTGCATAGCCATCTGAAATCTGTAATCTCTACCAAACTGCTTCAACTACGATCACTAATTTAATCTATGTCATGTTAAACGAGGAGAAGAGATATATAAATATATATGCTCAAATACTTTAAAATTCAACTCAAATATGAAGCTGTATCTATGAATGGAATGACAGGATTGTGCCGTTCAGGCCACCAAAGAAAAAAAAAAGTATCGTGTGCATAAAAACATTTGAATGGAAAGTATAAAGAAAGTGTTATGTTTGAGAGGAAGTGCATTCAACAGCTGTGCATGTGTTGCTCCTGTGGTCCGTTTACTTTAGTTGCAGACAGTAAATGTGGCAGTTAAAATCTAAATCTTTGGTGTTCAGTTAGCGGAGCTGGTGTCGTGATAATGAGCTTGATTGTGTCATTTTATCCACATATCTGTACCGTCAGCTCATTGTGAGAAACACTGAGGAGTAAAATGAATCTTCAATCATCATAGTTTTTCTAAATACTGCTCACACACACACACACACATCTTTATGTGTTCACCTGCAGGGCAGAAGCGTCAAACATTTCGAATATATTTATGGGCCGTTTGAAATGAAGCAGTCAGGGGGAAACATCTAGGCTTGAATGCACGAGCAGCCTGGCTACAAGATGCTGGTGTCAGATGATTGTGAACATAATAACACTGAGTGAGGATCTATATTAACGATTACTGAGGTTGGATTTAAGCAGTTTCTTATCATTTTGAGACATTTTGTATTTACATACTCATTGAGACGTTATGAGGCGTGTATGAAAACACTGATGCAGCACGGAGCTAAAAGATGGGTATGCAATCCAAATCGAAAAAACAGACGGGCAAATTATAGAAATGTCTGATTATAATTTGATCATGATAGTTTCTGATAGACATTCATTTGCTTTTATTTAGCTTTAGTAGCAAAAGAATAATAAGTATCACTGTCTGGAGTTGATTCTTAGCTAGAGTGTTAGCTTAGCAGACAAAATGTGGCTCATTAAGCTAGCTAACATAAGTTACTACTTGCTGTGTTGTTGTTTACTTTAGTGTTTTTATAACTATTCCTCTATACAGATGTCCTGAATGGTTTTAATGACATGACCATTACACACACAACATCACTCATCTTTGTTCAGGAACACATACCCAACCTTTACGCTTAGCTTAGCATCAAGACTGGAAAGAGGCTAATCTGTCCAAAGATATCAAACACTGTGCACTCGCTCCTCCAACACTCCGTTAGTTACAGAAGCTCTCAGCAGAGATACATCCATAATAATAGGATTGTCATACCATTCATAAAAAAACACATACATTTCAATAGTGAATTTGTAATCGAATGTTTGCAAAGCCTTATTTTTTATGCTTATATTTTGAAATGTGTAACTGACTTAAGCTAAGGTTACTTTACTTCCTGTTTGGATACAAACCTGATTAAAACAATAAGAAACTTTTGACGTTACAATATTAACTTAACCACGGAAAAGGGAACTGGTTATGGATAAAGGAAATAAAAACCAGTTAAAGGTAAGGTTAAAAAGTCAAATGTTTGATATCACAAGGTGGATATCACTTCTGACTCATCACCTGAGGCGTCTGGGAGATTCTTTAAGTGAAATGAGACATTTTAAAGCGCAGTGTTGTCATTCTTTTGGTATCACTGTATCTACAGGGAGATACTGCTCAACTAAAAGGACAAATAGCATGTGATTAACGCGGGAAAAAAAAAGAATGATTATTTCAGACCTTCATCGCATCGTGATTAACACCGTAAAGCTGACAGCCCTCATCTAAAGTTTGATTTTAATCTGTTTCTCTTAAATAAATGTAAGGATTCATGTCTGCTGAAAGCTTCTGTACTAAACACATTTAGTCTCATATTTAAAAAAAACACAAAAAAAGAGATTAAAACAACACGTTGTGGCTCACACTGACTTCTGTTGTGGATCATTTTTGGGCCAGTAGCATCACATTAGTCCATGTGCAACCATTCAAAAAGAGCCCACATGTAATCAGGGCGCTTTAAAGTTATAGTCAAGTTTTCTAACTTTGGACAGAGACTGTTTTCATGCAGAGAAGCTAACTGGCCCCTAACTGTGACTTTAATTATTTAACTTTCTGAACATAAAAATGTATCAGCGTGTTTTTTAAATGTTGCGTTATTGTTTTAACCACAGAGTTAAATATGCACAACCTCTTCTGCTGTGGTTGTACCGAGTCAATACGTACAGTGCATGTTTGCATGTGAAGGTGATCTTCTGTTATTGTAAGTGAAGGTATATTATAAGATACGCTGAAGAATGCAAGCTTCTGTGAACGGGTATGTTTGCAATAGAAGAAAGAGAGAGAGCGTGTGTTTATCACAGTGGAGGTGACCGGGCAGCGGGTTGTTCAGAGGTCAGTGGTGGCCTTGGCGGTGAGGGCCTGGATGCGGCTGGAGTTACAGTTTTTGCAGAGGACGTGTCCGTCCAGAGGGTAGCAGCCCTGGTTATCCCCCTCTGAGAGCAGAGAGCCACAGTCCTGCAGGACACAGATACTCGGTGAGTCCAGACAACACAAACAGAGTGATTCTCCATGCTCACCGATCAGACACATTCACACCCTCGCTGTGCTCACAGCCTGAATGAGACATTTTCTGCTGTTTAAGAACTCAGACAGTGAATGTCAGGAAACAGGCGGCTCTCTGCAGAGAATCCTCTGAGGCTGAAACAAGGTTCAGCTTCATTACCAGCTTCTGAATCTAGAGAGCCAATGAGTTGTTATGACTGGATAAGTAAGGTACATTTCTCTCAAAACTGTATTTCTGAAAACAGGCCCTATTTTCTATTTGTATATATTTTGAGGCTTAAATGACAAATAGCTTTGGCAATGCTCTACAACATGGCTGCAGCTGACAAGCACATGTGAAAATCAAAGTATGTCCCCTTGCACTGCTTGTTTTCCCCACTGAGGCTCAGATTGTAATTCAAAGTGTCTAACAACTCTATGCTCAGGGTTGCCACAGAGATGCAACTTTTGTTTTAATTTTGAGGCTTTTTGAAACTAAAAGCAGCTGTTGAATGACTGCTACAAAGCTAGTAGACTCCATTGTTAAAAGCAAGAACTTTAACTTGTATCTGACACAACACAGTACATTCGTTCAGCAGTCATTTAGACCCTAAAATGTGAAAATGGACAAATAAGCAAACATAAACATAAAATAAGAAAACACAACATGAAATAATATAAGATAGTGATGCGTGACATAACACGACTCGAGGAAACCAAACTAAACCCCCCTAAAACAAACTAAATGACCTTAAATCCCCTTTTAGTTGGTTGGTTCTAAATGTTTACAGATGAAACAAACTATTTTTCCAAAAGGGATTATACATGTCTGCTTCTTGTTTACAAATTTAGGATGAAAATATGTCATGTGATTTACAGAGAGGATGTTTTCAATTTATCCGATTCTTCTTCTGACTTTGTCTCGTTGAAGTCTCTTTCAAAAATAGGCCCAATATTCACTGTGCATGTGGTCTGTGTTCAAATCGTCTTTGTGGTTTTATGTTTGGTAGAGAAACATTGAAACAAGAAGATTCATACTTTATGGCAACCAGACTAAAGTCATGTGCTTCTCAAGGTCTAAGGCAGAAATGAAAGATGGTGTTCAGAGATTTGAAATATGAGGTGACGTATAAATATTGGGGTTTCTCCTGGTGGAAAATGTCTTTTAATCAACATATAGAGTTGACTAACTGACTATAGCGATATTCTTGACATGCAGAGCTACTGAGTCATCTTTAACTTCAGTGCTGTATAAGTTTGGAAGATTATGACACCAGGATGGGGATCATTTGAAAAGTGTTTTTGTTTTACTGCTGAATTCATTGACTGATTCTTGTTTGATAGGGTCTGTTGTTTTTTCTTTGTATGGAACTTTTTTTGTGCTGCTGTCCATGCAACGACTCCGTTGTAATGGAGTATCTCAATGGGAGTATTCCTGTTTAAATAAAGCCTAATTAAAATAAAATAAAATATCGGATTCGTCTCAGTTCTGGCAACTTTTGTTTCATGTCATGCCCTCCCCCCAGGAGCGTGTCTAGACTCACTGGACTGGGGTGGCCCAACTGGGGCACTGACTTGTGCAGGAGTAGCCTGAAAGTTTGTGTGCATTCAGCTGAATGCATCACCATCATAATTTCAAGTTTTTATACAAACATTTGCACACTGAGAACTATGAGTGGCCTGTCTCAACCCAGCCTGAGTAGCGGATTTACACACAAGTCCCACCTCTGGCAAATAGCCAATCATAGTTGAGGAATATTGGGGTCGCACCTGGGGTGGCCAATAAGATTTCAAGGGGGTCCATGCCACCCCTGGCCTACTCTGCGGACACGCCCCTGCTTCCACCTACTCCCTCAGTGCCCTGTGTATTTCCTCAACTTCTATCTATAATATAACAATATGAAAACCCCTTCTTAACATAGTCAATACCCTCTGCAGACCATACAGATATAAATACCACACTCCGTGATGTTTACTTGAAAATGCCTAAAGACGATAACTCAATCTAAATGTCATGATGATAACGTGATATATATCTTTTTTTAAACTCCAACCTTCAGGTTATTTTTGATCTTTACCTGTCCATCTATCTTTGAGGTATGTGTTCTCTTCACTCTTTATACAGGTTAATAAGCAAACAAAGCATATCACACACACACACACACACACACACACACACACACACACACACACACACACACACACACACACACACACACACACACACACACACACACACACACACACACACACACACACACACACACACACACACACACACACACACACACACACACACACACACACACACACACACACGAGAAATGCGTCTCCGTCCTCTCGTCTCCCTGGTGACAATATTCTCCTCTCGTTGAGCTCTTTTTCTGCTGAACTAATCTGCTCTGCTTTCCTTTGACCTTTATGTCTGCCAAACGTTCTGTGCACTCACACCGCCTCAGCTCCTCGACAATGTGACACGTTACTTCTCTTTTAGCCGGGCACGATATGTCTCTCCGCGCGGCTTATCAGACGGCTGGCTGTGGCTGACAGATCGGTTACCATGTAAGTCTGTGAACTTTGCAGAAGGAGAGATGGAGAGCTATTTCCAGGCAGGTGAGAGAGGGATGATGGAGTCGTCTCGATGGAAAGGTGACTCCGGGGACGGCATGGACTTTATTTCTTATACCTGCTTGTGTAATAACTGACTGTCACCTGGAGCTGTGCAGAATGGTGCATACATACGTCCAATTATGGAGAGCTCTCATACACTGTACCAGACAAGAAAAACACATATGTACCTCACAGCGGTAACACTGCACGTGGAAGTCCCGGTCCAGGGCCACAATACGGACCGTCTCCTCCTGACCCGGCGCCGGCATTATCGGCTCAGAGCACACACAGCAGCGTGGAGCAAACTTCCTGTGAGAGAATCCAGAATAAGAGAAATGAGCTCAGAACAACAGTAAACCCAAAGAGATGTCATTATTAAGACGCTAAGGTGATCAGCTTTTCTACACTTTTTCATGGAGGTATTTTGAATTTCTTTCAAGAGACCATGACAGAGTACTCTGGTCTCAGTGAGGTATGGGGCCCCTCATAAAAATAGTTTACAAAGGTCTAAAAGGGTCAAGTAAACATTATTTTGAGAAGATTTAACAAATGTTTTTTCCAGCCCTCCTCTCTGAATTACCCACATGACCGAACAATAGATCAACCGATGGTTTCAGTTCTCCCTCAAAGTGTCAAAATAGAATCAACGATAAAGAACAATAGTGTTTTTACATTATGAAACCATTATGTCAACTAAAAGGAAGACACTTGAGAATTTTCCTGGTTCCTGTTCAATTATTTATCTGCTCAACCACCGAGACTAAATCTGCCCTTCTCTGAAATATTTCACATAAGTAGAATATTTGAGGAAAGGCTATATATATATATATATATATATACACAAATATTTTAACTGACTGTCAGTGTACCGTTTTTTGAAAACCAGTGGAATCTGTAATTCTTGAAAGTCTGTCTAACAATAGGATCCATGAGGATCTGAAAAGCAGCATGAGATCTCAGGTCGTTTCAGGTGAACGAGGGCCAGCCTGGGAACGGGGAGCTGAAGTGAAGTGAGGTGGGGGGGTTTGTCGTCGTACAGTTAGGCAGAGAAACAGCTCAGGCCCGGGCGTGACTATTCCTCGACACAAAAGGGCTGCGCTGTTGAGGTCACACTTGTCATGTGGAATTAAACATGGGCAGAGCGCTGCGACTCCACAAAGTGAAAGCTGAGCGCTCACACAACGAGAGCAAGCTGTTTACTTCTGTTTCTCTTCTGGTCAGTGAGCAGAGGAACATTTCTGGTAAGGTGGCCGTTATGCAATAACTGGATTGTGACACAGTGACAGGAATTTACTTGTTCATTCACGTCTACTGACTCATCTCGTAAGGTCATTGGGCTTGTGGCATTTGGCTGCACTTCTTTACCGAAAGGGAAGAACCAAAGATAGAGTATCGATAAGTTGAGCTGGATTTCTAAGGTTAGTTAAACATGTGTGGTGAGTTTAGCCCGAGGGATAGCAGACGAACACGCTGTAAACACAACACTTACATAAAATCAGCGTCCACACTTGTTGTGGCTGAAGTGCATGCAAACAGTTACATATTTACACCTCGGGCAGGCACAGAGCAACAACAGCACTGATTTGATATTATGTTTCTTTATTGCACACCATTGGTTAATCAGAGCTGTTACTGGAAACAGCTGCCTGCAGGAAATACGTCGAATGAGAACAATATCATGCTAATAAGCTCCTTAAACATTTAACTTAAAGTTTTTCACAGTCTGTCAGAGCAGGAACGTTCCTACAAGACGTTCAACGTAACAGGAAGATGCTGTCTGAATGAGGGGGGCTGATGTTTCACAGCAGCAGCAGTGAAGATGGTTACAGTGCCTGGTCAATGTCTGTTTAAAGGGGGGGGGGGGGGGCAATGTTTTTTAGGATGTTTTTCTTCATTGTGTGACCCACCATCAGTCTGCAGCTAAATCAAAGAAAAGTAGAAGTTAACTAAGATATCTGGTCATCAGATTTCATCAACACTCTTCTTGTGGACAGTTTTTCCTGATGTCACTTCAATTCATGACTTGTCCTTTAGTTGGTGACTTGGTGATTTTATGGCTTTGCTTGATTTTCCCTCCTGGCTTGTTTCCTGCTTTGTTTTATTCTGGTGAAGCTTTTGGTAACATCAGTTTAGAAAAGCTCTCTATCAATAAAAATTATTATAATTAAAATAATAACTATTAACCTACATTTATTCAAAAATGTCAACAAAATCAAGAGACTACGAGGTTTGGAAACGTTACCCTCGAATCATAGGAAGAGATTGATTAAAAGATAAGAGGACCGGTAAGGAACTATTGATCACATGTTAAATTTAACATCACTATTGTTATTAAATGTATATTACAATAAATATGAACACATTTATATTAACTTATGTTCAGCAGATTTATTCATACAGCCTTTATGGAAAATGTTGGGATTTTGGACATACCCTAAAACTTCTATGAGGGCTTTTATTTCTTCAGACTATGAAATGACGCTGCCTCTATTTGCAACAGGCGTCAATACGAGACAGGCCTTTAATGATTTTCAAACAAAAGAGGGGAAAGTGTAAATTTATTCCAGAGAGAAATTATTTTATTGTGTACAAAATGAGGGTATCAATAAACAAATTCAATGATCTTTCTTTGTTAGGCAGCATGCACACCTCCTCTAGGCCTGCACACATACAAGCATTATTTTGTCTTTCTTTGACAGATGTTGTCGTTCATCTTTACTTTTTTGTGTCGTGCTGCTTTTTCTCCACAAACTGTTTCAACTTGTGCTCATATTAGTCAAAACGTGCAGCAACACCAGGCTAGTGAAAGAGACTAGGACACGGTACACAGGTTTTATGTCTTTGTAGGTTAGATAAGAAAATGTGTTTAGTTTAAAAATAAAATAAAATCAAGGTCAACTCTTTTAAAGTATCCAAAGCTTCTTAATGAAACAGGTCCTGTTGATTCAACAACTGTGTAAAAAGTGTTAGTCATGCTAACTTAACGTTCTTCTTTGTCAGTGTGACGAGAAGTGAGAGTGAATGTTGTGATATTTTGAGTCATCTGAACTAATGTAAAGTTGTCTAACACACATCAATGATTCGACTGAAAACAAGTCAAACAGATATATACTTTATGATACAGTTGATAGTATCATAAAGAGTGGCTGTACGGAGCCGTGGTTACTGCTGGCGCCTCACACTAAGAAGGTCTTTAGTTTGAGTCCTTCACTGAACACAACTAACTTAAAAATACAAGTTTAGTGAAATAACAATGAGTCTGGCGAGGAACGTTTTTTCTTTTGAATGAATACAGATTTGTCTTAACTTTTCATCTTAAATTCCCTAAACGCAGCCGGGACGCTCTTTTTTTCATTTCAAATGATGACAGTTTTTTAAAATGAAGACAACGACACGATGGTCCAATAGCAGTTTGTCTTCAAATTGCTGCAGTTTATGTTTCTGTACTTGGTTGTAAGTCTGCACATTTTGTAACTTACATTCATTTTTTACCCCATAAAACTTCAAGTAAGTTGTTGAAATAGTGTGAATAAGATATTTCATTAAATGATTTTGAGACACTGTAAAAAGAGACGTATTGATTATCATGTGAAAAGTGTTCAGTAAATATTCTGCTCTACTCTCTGTGTTCACCTCCACAAACTTTAGCTTTTAAATGTTCTGCTATGTTGGTCATGCAAGTCACTAACTTTGTCTGCTGTCCAGGTAATGTACCACAGAGATCTTATACTAAAACACAAAGATGACATTGAAACACAGTGAACCAAAACAAAGAGCTGGAAGGAGCTCAAATGTTATTTAGAGCTGAGAGGAACTTTAAATCCATTTGATACATGTTCATTTCATGTCATCATTTAAAATGAATGGCATCTAAACCGACATACTTGTGGAAGTCCTCGATGCAGTGGATGTGGTTGGACGCGTCCACGGTGAACGGGACGCCGTCCAGGCTGCGGCTGCACACCACGCAGGTGAAGCAGTGAGGGTGGTAGGCTTTCCCTGTGGCCCGCAGGATGCGCTCCATGATGGGCTTACTGCAGATGGTGCAGGTCTCCAGGGTGTTCTGCAGACACAAACACACAAACCACAGACAGCCACACGATTACACAACAAACCTGATGATGAATGTAGGGATTCTGATGATTCACTCCCAGAGGCCCTTTGAGCACTTGTTTACAATTAGCACTTGTCTGCTGACAAATTCTAATCAGCGTGACAAATTTGGAAAACTTTTTTTCTGATTCTTAACATCCTGCTGCCAGTGTTACACTTCCCATCTGTGCCCGTGCAACAAATAAATCCACACTGAGGACCTTTAGCTGGGCTGTCCTCGAATGCCTCTGAAGCTGAAGGAATCTGATTAGCACTCCTCTCCAAACACAAACACAGTCATTTTTCAGCTGCCCTCTCCCACACTCCATCCTCCCATATGTACAAGTGTGAGCAGTAAATATTTCCACTTTGTGATGACTGCAGGTTTTCTGCCGCCAGGCGACCGGGCAGGCAGCCCGCGGGGGGATGTGGCGGCCGCCCGCCCCTGACTGATCTGTGGCATCTCTCTTCTTAATATCGGCTGGGAGACACCATTTGTTATTTCAATATTTCATAAATAACAACCGCCTCTCTAAACAGCAATGCAATTACAGGGGGGTGGATATATCATGTGAGGCTGATCAATGTGCGGTGTGATGTGCGGGCTGATGGGCCCTCGCTGTCGCTGCCTCGCGCTCAGGCATTTCCTGGATCTCTGTGTGTCTCTGTTCAGCCCCCCCCCCCCTTTCTCTGCTTGGCTGGGCTAAAGAGTGCACGGTTCAGCTGTTCCCATTGGCTCCCACTGTAGTAGCAAGCTGCCTCAGTGTTTCCAAACACAGCTCGGGGTGTGTAGCAACACTGCGCTGCGTCATCGGCTGCCTCCCAGACGCACCGCCGGGCCCTGCTGTTTAAAATGACACTTCTGTGACCGCTCAGCCGAGGTAAACTCCTGACCATCCTCTGTCCAAACGCAGAGCACATGCGCTGACATTTATATACTGCATGCTAGTGAGCAGAGCAGCTTTATAGGATATCAGAGGAATTAAATGTAAAACGCTCCGGATGGGATTCTGTAAGTTGACTTTTGCTCCTCCGGCCTCCTCAAACCCTTTATCATGTGTCACTGGAGGGTCAGAGATGGGAGCTGCTGATGTACCACTCGAGGCGTTAGAGGTGGTTAAAAAAATGGCCGTTTCTTCAAAGCACTCCTGGAGAGGCTTTATTTCATGAAAAGCAATGTGTGTAGACAAGCTTTGCATTCTTATTTGTCTTCTTCCCCCCCTCCTCTTTCTGCAAGACGGTAATAGAAATAAACATAATTCCCACGGCAACATTTGTGTATAAACAATGTCCATATTGCAATCCTGCTCCATCCTGGAAGTGGAATGAAGCCTTTAATGAGCTCGCTGCACTGAGCCCTTGAGGTTTGCCTCACGCACGCACACAGAGACACAGAGATGGAGAGGTAGAGAGAGAGGGAGGGAGGGAGGATATGTTTGCAACCTGAGAATGTGAGTGAGATACGACGGCCAAACAGCGCTAAACCATCCTCAAACCTTACTCATCTGCCTGCATCTCCACTTACTTATTCTCATCTGCCCTTCATGTGGGAATACCTTGCCCTTGTTTAGCTTAACTAGAGCATATGATTTCACAGCACACAGTTCCTCGGGGCCATTGTAATGAGTACAGTACTCAAAAGACAAAATTTCTCTCTGATGGTGAGATTCTATGACCTCGATTCATTCATTCTGCTCAGCCTGTGTTGTTTTTTTTACTCACCCGTGACTCCTTTTATTTGGGATTAGGTAACATATTTTACTGTGTGTTGCCAAAAACAGAGGATGTTCATGACTTTTGCTGATTTTCGTGTACAACCTCCACAGATGGTTTTAGAAAATTCTGCTAAAATCCCTTCACGGCCTCTCTCTGTCAGACATGCAGGTCCGTTGCAGTTTGCCACTAGAGGGCTGTATATGTCTGCAGATGTCCGGGTTTTGCTTTTCCCCTGACTAAATGTGATGTATTCAAGCATATGTATTCTTTTTTTCCCTCCTCTTCCTCATACATTTCTCTAAGTGTTTGCCCAGAAGGCTAAACAAATGTCTAGGCAGATGAGGTAAAGTGAATTTAGGTCAGACAGCCTCTTGCTGAACTGAGGGGTGAGTCGAGAGCGTTAGAGTCAATTGTGGCCCCTTTTTGTCTCATTGTTGGTCGTTTTTCGGGCTATCAAGGCCTTCATGCCGAACACACTGGTGCACAAACAGCCCAACTCTAGACTCTCACTATTTAGCCTCATGCTCCTAAAAAGCGTTTGACACAGCTGTCTGTGGGAATGAAGAGTTTGATGGCAGAAAAGCATGTGACTGTGAGTTAAGAGGTCCCATGTGCTCTGCAGAGAGAAGGAGAAGTGTCTTGCAGAGAGAGACACAGGCACGGACACAGATCACCAGAAAAATAAATAAAATAAAATAAAATAAAAACATCCCTAGTTGGTGGAATCTCATATTCCAAAAAAAATTCATGTGTGGGATCACTTTTCTAATGTCTCTGATTTCTGGTAAGCTTCATGTAATTCAGAGCTCTGTCGGATCAAATGATGCTGCTATCAAACTTCAGGACAACTAAATTACACCTGATCCCTTTTATTTTATTTGTATCTCGTACCTCTTTTCTATTATTGTCTGTACCTCGGCACCATTGCGAATGAGGGTTCTGCCTCAATGTTTTTTCTGAGGATTTAAATAAATAAATGATGAAATTAGAGATGAGAAAAAAATACTCGAGATCAACATCTTTTCTGTTCTTCACTTGTTTTTAAACCCGACTGACTCGTGCACCCACAGACATAAACGCTTTTTTATATCTCACAGGTGCTCTATTTAACATAACAAAGAGTAAGGTCTTTTACCTGCTTTTTGTAAAGTGTCTTGAGATAACACTTGTTATGAGTTGATGCTATACAAATAAAGATTGATTGATTGATATTTATTTATGACTGCATTGGTCAGTTTGTTCCTGATGACTTTACATCACAGTTTACTGTGATACAAACTAGCCCAGACAAAAAACATACATATCTGACTGTGATTGTTTTTAAATAGATGAGATTGGTTATGATGAAGTTCCTGTTTGCGATGGGTGCTTATATAAAGTATAACACACCATCGGGGGGAAACACGCTGTAAATGAAAAACCTGCTGCAAAAAGTTTACAATTACAATTTTTCACAATATTCAAATGTTCTCAAACTTTCTAAAACTATGACAGTCATTGTTTGGGTTCTTCACATGATATGTATCACATAACTCTGTATGTTTGGAGAAGATTTAAGTTTACATCTTTCTTTTGCTATCAAACTTGGGGTCCTCAGAGACCCCAGTCGGTGATCCTTGTGACTTAAATATGTTGGTATGATGAGGGTTGAAAACAGAAACCTACTAGATCTGATAAGACTTACACATACATTGTATAACACTTTTTAAAATTCATTTGCTGATAGATATCTCAATGAATGGATTGGCTTCAGAGCGCGCGGTGTCAGATGTTTTTTTATGATTTTTGATGATTATGAAAGTAACTAATTTTCACACTTGAGGAACTGGAACCAAAAAAAAAAAGAGTTGACTATTTTTGCTTGAAAATTATTATTAATAGAGCACAACCACATGCTATATAAGCATTTAGTATTCTGAGAATCATATTCAGATTTATTTTAGATTTTCAGATTTATATTATTTATTTATAAGTTTACACATATAATGGATCTGCCTTGGTGCTTTTTCACACCTAAATGAAGCCAGAAAAAATATCAACATTTGACAGATGAGGATTTTAATTCTCACAATATTTGTATTTGATGTAACTGTAAGAGCGTTGATGTTTGTGCAGGAATAAAAATGAGTTTTTGCAGCAGTCATCATTATTTGAATTGTTACATTTAAACTGTTTGTGATTCTAATCATTCTCATTGGTGCACACGCTCAGGGGTGAAGGGTTCTTTCTGAGTATAAATTCATCTATGTTCTATAGTTAGTACAAAGCTACAGGTTCAAACGAAGAGAAACAAAGATGTGTTTTCCGTGGTTGTAGATGACACGTTCTGAAAAGTGCTGTGGCGTAGCGCTAACTTTAAGCTGTTTACCATCTCCTCTAACCGTATCAACACAAATTTTACACCTATCACTTCTTTTTCTCACATGACCACGTCAGGCTGTCAGGAGGCAGGCTGGAGTTCAGCGAGACTGCACGCGATTTATGACCTGGCACGCTGAACTCAGAGTGGGCCAAATTCACAGATGATCTGATTCAGAGTGTGTGTGTGTGTGTGTGTGTGTGTGTGTGTGTGAGAGAGTACAGAGCCTCTCAGAATGTGCTGGTCGGTGCCAGGCCACGCTGTGTGAATTAACTACACCCTGCTGGAGGTGGCTCAGATGAGAACTTGTTCGAAAGAAAAGGTCCGTCCCTGTGTTTGTTTTTTGTCTGCAGAGAAGAAGAGACGCTGACTCGGTCGTGAACTATGAGTCAAATGAGCGACCCTCCTCCGTCCCCAGGGAAGGTGTCGTCTGACTTAATGAACCTCGACAAGCAGCCTCTCTCCCTTTCATTGCCTAATATGGCTCAATCAAGCAGGACAAAGACAAACAATGTTTGATGAGTAATTATGAAGTGGAGTAGCTTGTTTTACAGGAGGAGGTGTTACAAAGAGAAGAGAGAAAGCCAGGATTAGGAAACAGAGATATAGAGCTGAAGAAACAATGACTCATAGTGAGGTTAAGCATGAAGAGAAAGTGAGACAGTTACAAACTGCTTGGGTCAACAAAAAACAACAGAAAATACTAACTACAGCTTTAAAGGATTTCCCAGAAAATAAAGGTTTATTCCTGCTGCAGAACAGACACCTCTCACTGTAACTATGGAGGGACTTAGGTGTGAGCATACTGGTTAAAGTATGGTATCTATGTGGAGGAGTTGTACGATCTGACAGACGTAAAATCAAATCAAGAGGATGATTTATATTTGGCATTAGGA